TTAACCCATATATGAATGAATGTAAAATCCCTTTGCATCCACATGGAACGTTATTATCTTGGCACCCCCCACCCCACACTCCTCCTGCCGTCCACCACTACTTCTTACTTGACTGAATGTAAAAGCCGTTTGCATCCACATGGAACGCTATTATCTTGGCTTAGTTTCTGAACAGTCTAACTTGGTTTCTGAATCGGCCGTTTTGGTTTCTGAGTCGGCTGTTTTGGTTTCTAAACCGGCTGTTTTGGTTACTGAATCGGCTCTTTTGGTTACTGAATCGGCTCTTTTGGTTTCTGAATCGTGGTTGCTGAATCGCCTGGTTTGGTTTCTGAATCGGGGTTTCTGAATCGGCCCGTTTGGTTTCTGAATCGTAGTTGCTGAATCGGCCATCTTGGTTTCTGAATCGTAGTTTCTGAATCGGCTGTTTTGGTTCCTGAATCGTAGTTGCCTGATCGGTTGGTTTCTGAATCGGCTACTGACCCTCGAAGTTGGTTGCGTCGAATGTTGGCTTGGGAAGCTTGGTCGGGTAGCCATTGCTTCTTGTTCCCATGGGTTGAGAACCTGATGTTGAGTTGCTGAAGTATTTCAAAGCCGATTCGGTGTTGATCTTGTCTGCATACTGTTGCTGCTGGTCCTGTTGCAACGTTGGTGAGGGTGTATTTCAAGTTGTGACCAAGTTGTACAGTATCCGTTTCTCTCCTTCTTCTGTTGTTGTTGCTGTCGCTCTGAGTTCTGCTTCTGTTCGTGTGATTGTTGCTACTTCTGAGCGTCATGTAGGCCTGTGTGTGCCGTGAGTGTGCATTTCCACTCTTCGGATGTGGTGTGTTGGTGCTAGCTGGTCTGTTGTCTCCTCTTCGGTGACTGCCTGTAGTGCTGTTGACTGTGATGCCATTGTCTGCTGGTTGTTGTTGAGAGTCCCCCAATGTTGGGATCAAGCCCTCTGCCGTGTGGCGCGCCCCGGAGGGTTGCTGCTTGCTCGGATGCTCTGTTCTGTCCTTTGCTTGTTGTGCGCAGCGGTTGGTGGCAGAGCTCCGCTACCATGTTAAACCGCAACTAGGTGCAAGTCTTGTTTCACAAGTGTTGTGAAGCAGCTCACTGTTGACTCGTTGGGCAATGGCTCAAGGCCTTGTTGAGCCCAAGGGCATGTACACATAGGTGTTGTACAGAAACGACTCTGAACACAACCAACCAACCAACCAAAAAAAAGAACAAGTCAACATGTCGTCTCGGTTGTCGCCTCTGATGCTTCCCGCAGTTCTGGCCGCGGCTTTGGAGCCTCGGGCGAAAAGCTTCGCGATTTCGCATCTTTGACATCTCACATCCAAACTGACATGAAACAAAAATGAATCAATTGAATCAAATCAAGAAAACGGATTGTTGAATTACATGCAATTTGACTTCAGGTCCTCTTTTGCCTTGGCATTCTGAGTTCAGCGACCCTATCCACTGAGGTCTTGGTCTGGCCAGACTTTGTGACCTTCGGCTTCTTGTGAACCTCGAGGCGATCGTCGTTTGTTTCAAACAATGCACAACACGCTTTATCCGCAGAAAAGTTTTAGGATGTATTTCCTTCAGAAGTCTCCATGAGCAGGAACGCATGGAAGAATGTAATTATCTGGTGCATGAGCCGTGCCTCATCCTGCTTGTCCTTGACGCTGCCCACCTGCAAAAGGAGCGTCCAACACAGCATACATACTAGAGTGTCCAACATTGCCCATGCTGGAGTGCAATCTCGGTTAACCTGGCAGATTTTGGCATCTAGCTAGCCGGATACTAGGACTTCCCAACAAGGACGTTGTCTTGTCACGTCTTGTCCCCGTCATGTCTTCTGTTTTTCAAAGGATTTCTGCTGCTTTCGGCCGCTTTTGTGCCTTGGACTGGCTCACTGGACCTCGCCGCTCGCGGTCCTTCCTGCCACGAGCAGCTTGCAAAGTTCTCAGTGTGATTCAAGCTTGCAACACTTGAAATGGGTTATCTATCATCGATCTGCACCCTTCAACGCATGCCTGTTGGGTGGTAGTGATAAGACTCTGAGAGCATTGGACTTTTCCAGTCTGCTCCAGCCTGTGAGGAACTTGTCTTGGGAGCGGTTTCACCTGCAAATAGAAGAATAGAGGAATCAAACTTTTTCATGTTTGGGAAAGTTTGTTGGTTGATGCAGAAGGGCGACCAAAGCAGGACAAATTATGTGGCTCAAAAGAACAGGGGGTTGATTCGTTCCTGCCGATCAAGGTGTTGAGGGGCCCTGCTATCAGCCACGACAATGTAAATATCAAGACTTTAGCAGTTCTTGTCGGAATGCAGTAGAAGGATGTCCAAAGCCTCACCGGATCTGTCTTCCCATTGGGTGATTGGCAATTCAAAAGGAAAGTCTCATTGCTCAGAGGTCCTTTTATTACTTTCCCCATCATTATTCTCTGCATGGCTCGGCTCTGCCAATCCTAGGGATGGCCTCCAACCTACTAGCGATGGCCTCCACCCTAGTAGCAACGTAATGGATGGCCTCCAACCTGAGAATGGACCTCCTAAAGAATGGATCTCGAAAGCGCGCAGCACGGGGCCTCCTTTGGAGGTGGAGCCGCTCTCTGTGCCTCGGTTATCGTTGGCCAACAGCAGACTGCCTGACTCCAAATCATTGCGGCAACATATTATGTGCAATGTTTGGTTATGTTTGTTTGCATGTCTGAAGTATTTAGGTGATATCTTTTTGGCCACACTGGTACCAAGAGCTTTTGCTGTGTGAGATTGTTTCAAGCCACCCGTGCCTTTTTGGGAGCCTTGGGAGACTCCTTTGTCGGCAGCAATGGCAAAGAATCCGGCACCTCGCGACCAAAGCAGCACCGTGGCAAACAAAGAAATGTGTTTGACTCCTTGACTCTGCATCCCAAAAAAGAGTAAACCGAAACACAGAGTCTCCCACCCTCGGCAGCACTGGAGTTGATTTCACATGCCTGGCGGATAAAGTGGGCGCTTGCGTAGTTTGGAGACTGGTACTGTTCGAGTTGGTCAGAACAGCTTTTGGAATGCTGCTTGTTTACTTGAAAGCAGAATCGAACTACAAGCCCCAATGTGTCGGCCAGTACTCTACTTGAATGAACAATTAGCAATGGGCGGGAGCAAAGCTCCAGCACTTTGAGAGCTCAACTGAGTCTCAAGTATTCAAGAATTCATGAAAGTCGAAGTTCAAGGCCAACTAAAGCGCTGCTGCTTGACAACAGTACCCATACTTACGCATTACATATATAAAGATTCTATGCTATACACTTCAACACGCTTGAACCAAGTTTGTTTCACCCTGTGTGGCCTCACTGGCTGGCTTAATCTGGCAGCACTAGCAGCCTCATCAGTGTTCCAAACTTCCTCAACTGCAAGACTCATCGATTTAGCAAATCGTCTGCTGAGATTGATACAGACCCCATATCTAGTTGGGGGTTGCAAGAGTTCTGATTAACTTAGTAAATAATACAGCATTTGAAGTAGACCATCAATCATGCATGTTCAGATGAACATGAAGATTCATACGATGCCTCGGACCATTCTGTCTTCGGTCTTCCCACCTGCTGTCTCTCTAAGCTTGGCAAAGAGGGCAGCGACACCTCACAGCACTCTCACAGCACTGCGGTCACGGTGGTACCGCCACCGCCGACGCAACTTGTGATCCTTGCTCACTCTTTTTCGGTCTTGAACCTAGCATCTCAACACGAAGAACGCTTCAAACAAACTGGAGACGGTGAAGAACAAAAAAAGAAACAACATGAAACAAATACTTCCGGACTGCTTTTCATCTGTTCGGATCTGTTCGGGGGGTGACTCCGCCCCTCGGCCCAGAGACACAATGAGACACCCGGAAAGGACTTTAGTTGCTTCACTAGCCGCTTCAATATGTTTTGAACGATTTGATTTGAGAGTGTTATATAAATATAAGACATTTAAAAAGGTCTAAAGGCAAAGCAAAAGGAAAGAAGGACATTTAAAACGTGAAGAATAGGAACATGAAAAAGCACGGTTTTCTTGAGGCCACCAAGGCAGCAGCTTTTGGCTCTGGGGACTTTGCTCGTCCGAGCCTCGCCATAACGACACAAAGCGATCCACGCGGCGAACGAATTCGGGGTAGCGACCTGCCAACAAGCCTAGCGGCCTAGCGTAGCCTAGCGGCGAATTCGGAGCAAAAGGGATGTTCTGCGCATCACGGCCACCCAAGTGCTGGGCACGTGATGCTCACCGCAGAAGAGAAACTGTCCCAAGGGCTTGGCAGTCCTTCGATCACTTCACGTTTCAGCCTGCTTCCCCCAAAAGCTGCGTGCTCAAAGCTTTCGAATGAGTCGTCACACCATTTGTAAGAAAGTCATCATTTTTGTGGGCAAATCACCCGGATAGTGTCAATTCATGTCAGTTCATTTCCCATGGTCAGTCATGGCCAGTTCTCATCGTGCTGCAAAAGATGCCTGACAGAGCAGACATCAGAGCCATTTTGGAAGCACAAATAGTCAGGATTGACATCTTGCGCTGGGAGAGGTTAAATTCGACACAAAACCACCGCTCCAGGAGCCAAAGACCGGGCCCTAGCCTGTCAAGACGCTTTTGAAACCTCGCCACGTCATAGAACTACATGTTGCTCATGCACATCTCCTAACATGCCCAACATGTTCCTAGCTTGCCCGAGCTTGCCTTCGCCCTGAGGCGGTCTCTCAACGTGCCATGGAAGAAAGCTGCACCGACTCTGTTTGGCACGCAAGCCAACACAAACATGACTCGGAGGCTCAGAAAACTAGCATCATTGCGCTGAATCGGACTGAGTGTAGCAAGGGCTGGGTGAATACCTAGACGCATTGAAATGTATTCTCCCATGGGCAGATTCTCGACAAATCTCGACAATATCTTTGTGCCTTCGATGCATTTGTGACCCAGAAGCCAACATGGCTTGCGAGGTCAACTGTCATTGTTGTGCCACTTGCAATTGCAATGCAGCTGCCTACATGCGAGGCCCAGCGCAGCATGTCCTTTTCTCCAGTGCTCTTGACTTTGGACGCCTCTTCTTGAGGCGCAAATCGCAGATCCTGCCTACACATTTGGATCTCTCTCTGAATTAGGGACTTCACAGCGGCTAGTTGAAATACAATGAAATATCAATGAAATAGGTTCCTGAAGTCAGAGACAAATCCAACTTGGACTCCGGTCAATGCTGCCATTTTACGCAGCAGTGCCAGCGTGGCATTTCCAGAGAATCATTGCATGCGGCAGAGACTCACTTGCCGCTAAGCCTCGATCTCATAGTCAACTTGCCAACTTGCCGCAGAGAACGAACAAAATGAAAAAAGAAAGGTCTAACGGTCTAGACTCAAAAAAACACACTGAGAACAATAATACACTTTGAAAGGTCCAGAAATAACACCTTCGAATTTTTGAGTCAATTTTGGGACGTCCGAAAAGCTTTCAGTGTCCGGGCAGTCCGAAAGCTTCATCGAGCAGAAAGAGCGCCGGAGCGGCTGACCGCTGTACCTCAAAGCGTGCGGTGCAGCTTCGTGCCATGCGGCTTCGTGCCTTTCTTCCTTTTCTTCTTGCTTTGTTTCTATTGGCGATGGCCTCCTTTTGTGTCTGTTCCTTTAGATGTTGTACCTTAAAATACATGTTTCCTTTAAACATCTTCAAACCATCTAAATCCTTCCTGACTGTCTTCCTTTCAAAGCCATGTAGAACAATCTCGAAGACTCCTGAGATGTCTTAGCGAATCGCTGACTCGGTGAAGTCTGAGATCATGGCTGCCGGCAATGCTAAAGAACTTCCGGGAAAGATCCTGCACCTGCAATAGTTTGTGTACTTGACGAGTTGCAATTCTTGCGGACACTTGGCATGACCTTGACAGCAAGGGGTTGACACATTCAACTGTCAATTCAGTGCCTGCCAGTGGTGGTGCAAATTGTCCAATCCTCAGATGTGGAGTTCAATGGTGCAAATGGGACATTAACTAGCCCTTGCTGCGAACAAAAATGGGTAGTTGTGACTCAGGATACTTGGGTCTTGAAGTAAGATCTCGTATTTTCACGTACCACGTACCTCCGTACATCTACTTGTCCAAACTTTGCTTGGCCTAAAGAAAATACCTTTAAACAAGGGTTTGCCAAAAAGGACAGTGTGGGACTTCACAACTCACCAACGCCGACCAATCTGGCGGCCGGGCGGTCTTTCGGCTTCTCCGGCCACCGCTGGATGCGCTCCAAGACGGACTCGCCTTTCAAACCTGGGCGCCTCGGATAAAAGGAGATGTCACCGTGCACTGAGCACGCTGTTGATGTCTGATTGCATGTGTGAAGGTTGCGCAAGAATAACCAAGGTATATATGTATTTTGATGTTTTTTGTATAGTTTTGTGAAAAACTGGGAAGTGTCAAATAACTTAACTTCAATGCACCTGGGATTGCCCTCGATGTAGCCTTTGTACTGGCAGGATGCTACTGCTGCAAAAAGCACAAATCTCGAACCAAAGAAAACGAAAGACTGTCCTCAAAGTCGGAATCCACAGTGGCCGGGAGAAAACCTCAATTGAAAAGTAACAGCTCGTGTGCACTTGATGTCACTCCCAGTGGAACCTCCAAAACCCCAAGCCAAACTCAAAGAAGAAGTAAATGAAAGCCATGATCCATGAAAAAACACAAGCCAAGTCCAAGCTACGCATGGACGGTGCATGTGGCCATTTCACCACGGGCTCCAGGGTCGGATTGCTCTGAAATATCAACTCCTCTCAGATGCGCAGTCTGAACTGTAGCTTGCCGATAGTTTAGCAACTGCCAAACGTTGTTCTTTGGCTGTCGGAACACCGGTGCAAGTCCAAAAGTATTCCGAACCCGTCCGTGCCTGCAAAGATGCCAGGTCAATGTCTCTATCCTTTTCACTGCACATATGGAAGGCCTGAAGGTGGCCAGAACCTTCATAAGCATGATCCATATTCTTCTTTGCTTGCCGCGAATACATCCCAAGTGTGCCTTCAAGTCCTTTTTTCACGAACAGAATGTCCTTTTTTTTTGCGCAAGTTTTACATATTTCGTTGCCAAATCTGGCACATTGAGTGCCCTCTCAAGCTCGACATGCGCGGCCCCCGTCAAATCTGGCAAAGGACGACCCGGTTTGCAAACTTTAAAACTGTTTTATCAGGACTTCAAAACTGTTGTCGATCGCCCATGCTCAACGTGATCAGCCTGCCAAGTTGTGGACGGGCCACTGGCTAGTCAAGAGCCGGTAAAGGAGGGGAAACATCTGACACCACATTAGCACCCCACACAAAAGTAGTATATCAAACAAGAATACAAGTGTGGGCGGGCAGTTGTCAAGAGCAACCCTGGAAAACACATGTCACATGGCAAAAGGAAACCAGAAAGGCGCGATGTGAAACAAGTAGAGGCACAGTGTGTCGGCCATAACGGGGCCCCACGAAGGCAAAAAATGACGGAAACATAGTGAGGAAGCAACTGCTGGCGCCACCACAGCATAGGAAGGTCATGTCAAAACGGGCTGAAGTGAGGCAGCCCAACGCCAGCAAAGCGAGAAGAAACAAGACCACTATGTTGCTACGCCCCCGCTGCAAAGTAGCGCGGGCGCAAAAGAGTGGACTTAGCTCTTGCAAGAAACGGTTGAAGCAAAGAGCTGGTTCGACTGGATGGTATGCTTCGAGGTCGTGAAGGCTTTGCGCTCCCAGGCACCGGTGCATTTCACCAAGCATGGGAAGGAATTGCATTCCCCCCAGCAGCCACACTCAGATTTGTCCAGGTTCAAATGAATTCCAATTGCAACAGCTCGGGCTTCGACCAGGCGAGGCGCGGCGCTAGCGATTGGGAGGGGGACCTCACTCAAACAAGTTGCCAGTGCGTGCGTGTTGCTTGCAGGATGAGGTGTCCGAGCGGGTGGAGACTGAAGGAATTGGCGAAAGCAACCTTTGAGAACGACCTTCGAAGAAAAGCTGTGCCATCGGTACAATACCCTGGTGCGCGCGTGGCCTCCTCGGCGCTCTTGGGGCCACAGGCACCAAGCGCAGCGGGACGAGTAAGTAAACAAAAAGCCTTCGCTGGAACCAGCATTCTTGATGCAAATCTGTGGGCGTTGGTGCCGTTTTTGCCAGGAAGGCTGACAGCGACTCACCACCTGTGCAGCCAGCTCAGGCGGTGAGCTCCGGGTGGTACGGGCAAGCTGGACAGGCCCAGGGCTGCAAGCTCCTGGCTTCGTCGCCTTTCAAGAGCTTCTGACCTCGACGGAGTCGCCGATGCACGATGTGCTTTGGTGGAACGTTGCGCACGGTCTACGCGAAGTGACCGGGACTACTAGGAACAAGTGCCACGCTACTAGTAACAATTAGACTTAAATTAAGTTTAAATAGCTTCTTGTTACTACTAGTAAGGCACCTGTTACTACTAGCGTGGCACCTGTTCCTTCACTTTTGCCAAGGCACGGCAATGGCTGCGAGGATGCCCCGTGGGTTTCCCACATATCTTGCACTCGTCCGGTCGAAGCGGACACGCCACCACATGGCATCCAACAGCAAAGGCCTGGACAGGAACAGGAGAAGCCAAGAGAAAAAACTCAGCAACAAGGGAAATGCTATGAATCAGCAAAGCTATGGTTCTCGAGCGGAATCTCGACCTGCCTGTACGGCAACTCATCCATGGGATCAATCTTTTCTTCAAAGAAGGCTGACAACTTTTCTAGGTCCTTCACAGTGAGACGCAATGCATCGCTACTTACTAGGAACAAGAAGCTACTAGGGGCTCCTGGCCTTACCCTGGCCGTACT